GCTGATGTTAAATGGATCTGAGCTGAAAGCAGAGAATACCAGAAGAATGTCTATCTGTGTTTAATTGATTATGCAAAGGCATTTGACTGCGTGGATCCTAACAAACTGTGGCTGACTCTGAGAAGAATGGGAATCCCAGAACATTTAATCGTGTTAATGCGAAACCTATACTTGGACCAAGAGGCGGTAGTCAGAACAGAGCAGGGCAACACTGCATGGTTCAAAATTGGGAAGGGTGTACGCCTGGGATGTGTCCTGTTCTTCCATATACTGACTATAAATCATGCTTGCAAAAAGGAAAAAGGACTTTAAGAATTTATTGAATAAAATCAAAGACTACAGCTTTTAGTATGGAATACACCTCAATAAAAATCCTTATGCTTGGACCAATAAACAACATCATGACACATGGAGAAAGCATTAAAGTTGCCAAGCATTTAATTTTATTTGGATTCATAGTCAACACTCATGGAAGTAGTAGTCAAGAAAACAAATGAGGTACTGCACTGGAGAAGTCTGCTGTTAAGGACCTCTCTAAAATGCTAAAGAGCAAGGATTTCAGACTCTATTATGGTGCACCTGCCCCAAATTATGGTATATTCAATTGCTTCATTTGAATTGCATTGGGAAAGTAAGCTAAAAAAGAAAAAGAAAGTAAGCTGTCAGGGATCTCTCTAGAATATTGAAGAGCAATGGTGTCAGGCTGGAGACTAAGGTGTGCTTGGTCTAGGCCATAGGCTTTTCAATTGTGTGCTATGCGTTAGAAAGTTGGACAGTGACTAGGGATGATAGAAGGAGCTGTTGTGCTGAAGAATAGTATTGAATATACCATGGACTGCTAGGAGAACAAACTGGTTTGTCCTGAAGAGGGTTAAACCAGGCTTGTCCTTGGAGGCAAGGATTCTGAAGCTTCATCTGACATACTATGGGCATGTTGCAAGGAGGGACCAGTCTTTGACTGGTTTGTCCTGAAGAGGGTGAAATCAGGCTGCTCCTTGGAGGCAAGGATTCTGAAGCTTCATCTGACATACTATGGGCATGTTGCAAGGAGGGACCAGTCTTTGAAGAGGGACATCATGTTTGGGAGGGTGGGGGGACAGCACGAAAGAGGAAGACCCTCAATGAGATGGATCGATTCAGTGATTGGGGTAATGGGAGTAGGTGTGTCAGAGACAGTGAAGTTGGCACAAGACAGAGCAGGGTTTAAGGTTATTGTACATAGAGTTACTACGAGTTGCAAGTGACTTGATGGCACATAACAATAACAACTGCACAATAAGAACAACAAAGATGTCCTAACTTGCTTATTGTCTGGACTAAGGTACGCCTGTTTCAGGCCATGGTCTTTCCAATCACTTGCTATGCATCTGAGTTCTGGGCAATGTATAATGATGACAGAGAAGAATTGATGACTTTGAGTTGTGATGCTGGAGTAGCCCAAAGAACAACAAATATGTCTTGGAAAACACGCAGCTGGAGTGCTCTTTAAAGGCAAACATAACAAAGCTTCACCTCACATACTTTGGACATGGTGGAGAAGCTATTCCTTGTAGAGGGACATGAAGGATCCTTGAAGCGTAGAACAAAGCTTGGCACTTCAATGACTCGTTGCCATTCAATAAAACATTTACTGAATAAATTCATTACTCCAGAGTGCAATCCAAATAACAATGCAATTACTAGAATATTTAAATTTCTGACTTTTGGGGTCAGGGGGAAGAAATTATGCAACAATGAATGAATATTTTTTTCAGGCCATAGTCTTTATAATTACTTGCTATACATCAGAAAGCTGGACAATGACTAGTGAGGATAGAAGAATTGATGCCTTTGAGCTGTGGTGTTGGAGAAGAATATTGAATATACCATGGATTTTAAGGAGAACAAACAGGTTTGTCCTGGGGAGGGTGAGAGACCAGGCTGCTCCTCAGAGGCAAGGATTCTGACATACTTTGGACATGTTGCAAGGAGGGCCCAGTCCTTGGAGAGGGACAGCGTAGGAAAGATCCTCGATGAGATGGATTCAGTCACTGGAGTAATGGGGGTAGGTGTGTCAGAGACAATAAGATTGGCTCAGGATAGAGTAGGGTTTAGATCTGTTGTATACAGGGTCGCTATGAGTTGCAGGAGACTCTATGGCACATAACAACAATCTGGTAGGAAAGTAGGGAGGAAAATGCAACAATGAGTGAATGAAAAGCCAACTTTTCTGTAAAGTTTCATTAGAATCACAATTTTAAAAAAGAAGAAGAAAAAGCCAGGCCCAACTTCCACAGTCACACCCACACATTTGACCTGAAATGGGCAGACAAAAAGGGGAAAAAAATTCTGACTCCAGCAATCTCTCTCATTCTGTCTCTACATATCTACTTGAGAGACCTAACAAGGTACTGGGCACTCACGAGTTTCATATGGCAGTTGAATGCGTCTTCCTAAAAAGGTGATAGATTCTTTCAGAGCAGTCCTCCTCACCCTCGGGGGTAAGGCAAAAGTTTGTTTTGAACGGTGAGTCGAAACGGACCCTCCAGCTGGTTTTCAGAAGCAGTACATCAAGATTGCCCATTTTTCTCCTTCAGAGCTATTAGGTGGGGACGTACCGTTGCGTTGGCTGCGCAATTCTTAAACACTAAGTCACCAAAATACTTCAAGCAAGGAGTTGTGTACTTTCAAGTTGCAAATGATCCATGGCTGACCCTCTGGTGCGTTTTCATCCCATGGGATGAGATTGCCCATCCTTCTGCGGAGAGGCTGGTGGATTTCCCGTGCTTTCGGGACTGCAGCGCAGAAGAGTAGAGGCAAGAATTTAAGTCTTCTTCTGAAAGGTATAAAGAAATAGAAGAAAAGAAGAAGGGGGGAAATTAAGAAAGGAGGGAGTCCTCCTGTCTTTGTGCTCCCGACCTTTCTCTTCCAGATAAGGAAATGAATCTCCTTTCGCGCAATTCCTGTTGTAGTAGCAAGGAAAGATACTCCCATGCTCGTGAACCAAATCTGAGCTGTCTAAAGCCGGGATAAATGCGTTATTCTGACTTCTAACTTCTAACGCTCTAGGAGGCGGGTACCAAACAAGTGTGTTTCCATGGCGACGCACAAATCCGGTGGGGCTTCGCTCCCTCCCTCTTTAGCTGGCTAAAAAGTTGCCTTTTTCTGATCCTAAGTAATGTATGTTGAGGTTATAAAGAGAAAAAGCATGGGTGAAGAATTATTAGCGTGCTCTTGTATGTAGCTTTTTTGAGTCGGAGTATGATTTGATAAAGCTTGTTTTTCCGGCAACCGCGGAAGATGCCCAAGTTAGGGGCGGGGCAAAGAGGCATCTATCCCACAAGGCAATGCGGTGGGCCTTGTCGGTCCTTTTTCCGCCATCTTGGAGCCGGTGAAGGTGGTTGTCTCCTCCAACGTCTGAAGTTTTGAGTGAAATAATTGTGGTGAGTTTACCCGTAGATCTCGCAAGACATCAGCGCAGCTCGAGGGTCCCTGCAGCGACAGTTTCCTAATGATTCCAGCTAGAGGGAGGGCGGGATGGCAGAGATGCAGGGTTGATGGTCCTGGTTGCCTGACGTCCGGAGGGCTGCTGCTCCGGGACTCAGTTGTTTCTTTGCAAGTGCGGACTAGAAAGGTGCCCTTAGTTTGTCTACAGGTGTCGGTTGAAGGCTTTACGCTGAACCTTTGATCTTTTTTAAAATATAAAAGTTCTGCTTAATAAAGTCTCCGTTTCTTCGGATTTGTGTTAACTAATGGTGGAGTGACTTCTCCCGTGACTGCTTATTCAGACATTTAGATGTTTGGGAAGTGTGTATTTTTGCTATTTAAACCGGAGTGACTTCTCCCGTGACTGCTTATTCAGACATTTAGATGTTTGGGAAGTGTGTATTTTTGCTATTTAAACCTTTTGTTGGTATTTGGATTTATCTTTTACTTTGGAGTTTGTTTAGATACGAGAGAGACGCTCTGGTGGCTTAATGCGTTTTGTGTTGTGCTGTCAACTCGACTCCACCAGTCACACTATTAACGTGAGGTAGGGAGCCGTGCTGGTTAAGTGATTAAAGTGCTCGGCTGGTAAACGAGCTGAGTTTTGAAACACACCAGCCACTCCATGGGAGAAAGAAAAACTTAACGACCTTGAAAAGCAATTCAGAATGTAACATGAAGTGTTAATTAAAATGGAAATTGGTCTAACGTGAAAGTGGGACACTTCCTTTTCAAGATTGTAAATGGAATTCCCCCCCCCCCCCCTTTACAGGCCTCTTGGAAGCAGGACTTCTGAACCACAAAGATGGCTGGGAGGTATGCACTTTATTTAAATGGAATTGCTTATTTTTTGTTCTATAGTCATGAACCAAATGGGAGTAAAACAGACCAGGAATAACTAGCCATTTGCTGTAAATAACTGGGGGTTAGGGTTATCACAAATCATACGGCTGTTTTTTGAAATAAGATCTTTTAATAGTTGACAGTTAATGTTCTGTATTTTGTGTATCTTAGGCTTTGGTGCAAAGCCACCTTTGCTGGCTATAAACGAGGTCTCCGGAACCAGAGGGAGCACACAGCTCTTCTTAAAATTGAAGGTGTTTATGCGCGAGATGAAACAGAATTCTATTTAGGCAAGAGATGTGCTTATGTTTACAAAGCAAAAAAGTAAGTTTATAATGCTGTTGATTCTTTTTGTCTTTTATTATTATTATTGAAGGTTTATGTCATCTTAATATTGAAAGATAAACTGTAAATGCTGTAGTTGATACTAAAGACTTTTGTAAATCTTTTTTTAGTAGATGTTACGTTTTTTTTATTCATAACACTATGTAGTGTTGATAGAGTTAGTACATTTGCTGTTTTCATCTAGTTGTTTTCCTATATATAAAGATTGTGTTTAGAAGAGTTAATTCTGGATCTTACAGACCAATGAAAATCTATGGGGATAGCTTTCATCCTTCCCCAGCATCAGATCACATATACATTACTCTCAATTTCATTCAATAAAAGTCCTCATTCATCTTCCAACAAGAAAACTATTCAGATGTTTAATACGTGCTGTTGCTTCTGGAACCGTCTTCACCACATAATGTAGACTTTGTTGCTTCACATGGTCCTTGTTGCAGTGTTAACTCACTTAAGCCTGCCTTAATCAAAACACTAAATGCTATAAGGATTGAAGGTTGTGTGACTCTTTATCTCTGCTGGCCTTAATGGCTTGTAGCTCAGTTCCTAAAGCAGTGTGCCACCAGAACTCAAAGCCACCTTTCCTCACTCAATAACTGTTAAATTTAACCAATTCGGAGCTGATAATTTAAATTGCAAGGTAAGTGATTGCACATCTTTGTTCATTGGCGTTCCCGGTGATTTTTACCACCTGGGTTAGCAGCTCAATGACCTACTTAATATGCTCTTAGAGCTCACGGGATGCCTTCTGGCTACTTGAAATTTGAAAAAGTCTTTAATTTCACTTAACCTCCTTTGCTTCCATTTCTGTTTATTATGGATACCCTGTAAAAAGACCTAGTGAGGAAGGGACAGCAAAAGAGATGGGACTGTCAGAAGTGACTATAACAGTGAACTTGAACTCAAAACAACTATGAAATCTCATCTCTCCCCCCCAGGCAACAATAATCAAGTTCAGCAGAACAGGAACCAGCAAATGTTGGGGAGGTTGTAGAGAAATTGGAATCCTTATTCACCATTGTGGGCATGTAAAATGGTTAGGAAAAACTATGGTATGTTCGGAAAAACAAGGAACTTCTTAAACATTGCACAAGGGGAAGCCTTGAGGACATTATGCAGAGAAAAATTTCAGTCAAAAAAGGACTGCATAACACCTCTCTTAGAAAACAGTACTGACATGGGAGTTTGAGAAACTAAAAGGGGGGTTATGAATAATGAACCCTGCATTGGAACAGATGAATGGAAGATGACAACAGTCCAGAAAAAGAAGTGTATTGTAAGGTGGCGGTGGTGGATATTGTGCAACAATGAATAAATGAAAATCTAACTTTCTTGTAAACTTTTACTAAAATAATTTTTAAGTAACCCACCAAACCTACAACAGGCTTTGAGCATTTGGAGATGATGGTGGAGGATATGACAAGGTTACGATCTGGGTACTGTTCATAGGGTTACTAAGTCAGCTGACTGAGTGGCACGTGCCAATAACACTCAGGATTTTTTAAAACTGCAATATTCCTGGCATTTACCAGACGGTCTGATATTTAGTATTTATTGAATGGAAGCAAAACTTTTTTGTTTTGTCTTTTAAATCCACAGCTCATTAAATTGGTAATTAGGGTTGAGCCTCTATTCTAAACATCCTTTTGACCTTATTAGTTGTCTGAATTTTCTTGTACTTTCTACTTCTAAAATAGCAATACGGTGACTCCTGGTGGCAAACCCAATAAAACCAGAGTAATCTGGGGAAAGGTAACTCGTGCGCACGGAAACAGTGGCATGGTTCGGGCCAAATTTCGGAGCAACCTTCCTGCTAAGGCCATCGGACACAGAATCCGTGTAGTAAGTAGAATTGTTAACCAAGCTACCCCAGACCTGTTTAATCAAACTCCAGAGTTTAAATGTTGACCTTTTAAGGGTTATCCTACTTGGTGCAATGTTAAATGGCAGATTAATCAGAAAGTTAGTGGTCATATTATTTTGAAACACCTGTTAGTGTACCACCCCCCCCCCCAAAAAAAAAAATGTTCAAATGGATTGTGTATTTGCTTTCGGTGGGTTTTTTGGTTGGTTTTTGTTCTTTTTTTCCCTGGTGGTTTTGTATTTTTTTTATTTACTACGGTGCTGGGGCAGAGGGAGGATAGTATTAAATCAGTTTTTTAAAAATATATTGGACACTGAAGTTAGTGCTAGAAAATAAATTGATTCCTTTTTTTGGCATGGTTTTTAAGAATAGTGTCCTATTTCTTCATTGCCAGTCTTGTTAGAATAATATGTGTATTTTGCAGAAAAGAGCTGTTACCTTTTCCTAAGTCTCAAGACTGACCCAACAACTGTTAGAAAATTTGTCCATATTGTCATGCTTTATACTTCATATATACATGTAATATTCATCTAATATTTTTGTGTTCTTTCTCCCTTAGATGCTGTATCCCTCGAGGATTTAAACTTATTGAAAAGCAAATAAAATTATGGATTTGTTATTTGTTCTCTTGCATTTTTGTTAGCTTTAAAAACCCTTTACATTTCCAGACCTTCTAAGGTGCTTCTGGGTAAACACAACTGCCAATATATCAGTTGGTCAAACACATTAACACTTGCTGGCTTTCCACATTAGGTTGAGTTAGTGAAAGTTTAACCAAACTGTTAACGCAAAGATGGGGGAGGTTTTTTTTTACTGGCAATTTAAATCCACGAGTAAGCTCTGTGGAATAGTGAGCAGCTATTAAAAATGAATTGGTAAATTTACAACTTGAGAATTAGGTATGTGATGATAGTATTAATGGGATTTTGTAGCTCTACAGCTTGGCTGAGATGTCCCTAGTCTCTGGGCAAGGCAGTATAGAAACGTGTAGGAGGTAGACTCATCAGTCTGTGTTAGGCAGATGACAAGACAACCCTGCTTACTGAAAGGAGGACCTGAAGCACTTAGGTCAAGGACTACAGCCTTCAATATAGATTGAGCTTCATTATCAAGAAAACAAAGATTCTCACCACTGGGCCAATTAGCATCATTATGGATTGAGATTGATATTAGAGATTGAGATTGTTAACAGTTTAGTTTGGCTCCACAATCAACACTTGGCACCAGCAGCCAGGAAATTGAAAGACTATTGTGATGGGAACGTCTGCTCTTAAGAGACCTCTCCTAAATAATGAATAGTGGTATCACTGTGCTGTGTGCCTGCTACAGGCATGGTCTTGGCTTGCAATCACTTGCTATGTGTCAGCTGAACAGTGACTAGGGATAATAGAGAATTGATACCTTTCATATGTGGTGCTGGAGGACGAGTGTTGAATATACGGAGAACAAATGGATTTGACCTAGAGCCAGTGAAACTGGCTGCTCCTTGGAAGCTAGAATTTCGAAGTTTTGTCATACTATGGGCATGTTGCAAGAAGTCCTTGGAGAGGGACCGCACAAGAGAGGAAGACCATAAGATGCGTCAATTCAGTAATTGGGGTAATGGGAGTAGGTGTGTCAGATTGGCACAAGACAGCAACGTTTATGGCTATTGTACATAGAGTCGCTATGGGTCACAATCGACGGCACATAACAGCTCTCACAAAATGTCACAACCTCAGATGAAGATTCTCTAGATTATAATTTCAGGATTCTTAACCGTAGTAATGAAAAGACTAATGAATATTTGGATAATTTTGGTTAGAGGCTAATACATGAGGTTGAGTAAAAAAATACTGAAGCCATAGGTTTTAGCTTAAGTAATGAGCCTAAAATGAGTGACTGAAGAGAAACGAGATTGTGTGCCACTTTTTACACAGACCACTAAAAGAAAATTTTTGTAGCTGCTCTCCTGGCACACATCTTTGGTGAGTGACAGAAAAGCTTAAGAACTAGTTTGGGAACAGTCAAAAACTTGCTATTAGCTGGTTTTCCTGTCTTCCCAACGCAAACACGTGGAACAGAAAATGGAATTTATTGGCGAACTTTGCGTAATTAGATGCAATGGACATATTCGCGGCTCCCCTCTTACGCGTTGAAGTTCTTTTAAGCAAATTTTTAATTTTATTATACTAATTTATTTACAAAATTCGAATGCATTGTTGTCCAGAAACAGATTCTTCCAATTTCCTTCACCTCCCCCCATCAAATTGTACAATGCCATGTGTTGAAATTCTTCAGGATGACGCCAGCCAATCGGAATCTGACTTCTCCGCCCGCTGTCCCCTCCACCTGTCCTGAGCGGCGAGGGGCGGGGCTGGCGCTGGGCGCGGAGGCGTCACGCCCTCCATGGTAACGACGCTCGGCCGAAAATGGCGGCCGAGTGGGCTGTAAGAGTGGGCTGCGGGGCTTCAGGCCCGGACCCAAGCCGGTGGTGCTGGAGCGGTCCTTTTTGGGTTTTATTCCTGCTCAGCGGGCTCAGAGCAAGCGGCACGTCTTTTCCAATCTACTTGGGCAGCTCTCCTCCCTGCCGGCACTACGTCCCCTCTGACACTGAGGTAGGAGGACGGAAGGTTGGGAAGCGGGTACTGTGAGGATAAAGTAATGCGGGAGAGAGACCAGCGCGGCGGGTAGTCGCTGGGAGGTATTCTTCTGCAGGAAAACGCGAAATTGAAGGCAGAACCGAACTCTTGGCCGGGACCTGCTATCAGCTCTGCTCCCAGTTCAGTGGCTGTTTTATCCACTTGGTACCCACAACCCCATCACTTGGCTTTGCCGAGAGCTCTTCCTAGCAGATTAGCCCTGCAGGAGTTGTTTGCACATTTAAATATGCATCAGAATTAATGAAAAGATTATTGTTCCATGTTCCCCACTTTCTGGCTCACTTCTTGGTTGGGTCCTCAGGATTTCATTTTAAGTTCTCTGATGGGTGCTGAGACTGCTGGTCCCAAAACCACAGTATGAGAACTAGAGTTTGGGAAGAAATTGATAGAACGGCCAAACATAGGCATTGCAGTGATGAAGGAGCTTTCTACGGACTAGCGACCGCATTACCACTAATTTTCAAGTTATCTCATTTATTCGGTTGTGTATCTGTTCTCCAGGCCTTGAAGTGCCTGCCTGCCTCTTAACACCTGGTTTTCCTCCCGGGCCACATTCTTTTTGACTCAGTCCATTCCCCCTAGCCTTAGATCAGTCAGTCTGCTGAATCCACCCCGTAGCGTGCTCCCTGCATTTCACTGCTTAGCTCAATTGTACTCTCCTCTGGCACTTAATCAAATATTACTTTGTGGTAATGGATTGTTTTTCAGGCACGTCTTGCCTTAATAGCTGGATTGTAAAATTCCCTAGAGGAAGGTTTGTCTTGTTGTTTGACTCCTCTACAGTACTTAACAGCAAAGGTAGGCAGGCCTGCATTAGATCTGCAGTAAGGGTTTGAGGTAAGTTACTCTTTTTGATAACTTGTCTTCTGACTTTATAAGGAACAGGAACCCTGGTGGCCCACTAGTGAAATGAACGCATTGGCCAGCCCATGAAGATTTGACAGCTTGTTTCCATAAAGATTTACAGCCTATATGAAATTCGTATGGAGTCATTCTAAGAGTTGCTGTGAATGAAAATCAACTCCACACTAGTGGGTTTGAGATTTCATCAGAAAATAGTCACTGAGAAATTCTCAATTCAGGCCAGAAATTTACATATTTTCACCATTTTTTTTTAAAAGTTAAGCACATTTTTCTTCCTAACTGTGTGTGCCAAATTATGTTTGAGGCTTGTTGCTGCATTTTAGTTTTTAATCATGACACTGCCTTTTGGCTGAATTGATTTCTTCTTAAAAAAATCCCAGAAAGCCCTGCATTTCTTTCTTCTGATTTTATTAAAGTAAAGTAATTCTAAGAATAGCAAAATCTCACAGTTAAAAAGGAACCTTAATAGCTAATTGTCTTGTAGGGACTTTTGCCAGTATACCGCCGGTATCGAGCCTATATTTGACTATCTCCTTGACCAGGAGCTTATTGTTTGTAGAAGCACAGCAACCTCTTTTCTTTTTTTGAGATCACCATTGTCTTTTTTTATAAGGCTAGAACTTCCTGAAACTTCTTCACATTCTTCCCATTTATACCTATATATTCTTCTTAAAAAGCTAGCACACCAGATATTAAGAGCAAATTATTAAGCTCTTTTCTTTAAAAAAATTTTTAAGTTCTCTTGAGAGTCCTCATCCCTAATAAAATTTCATAATTCTTAGAATAAAGAATAGCAGGTGCTCCTCACTATTCTGGTTGCTTTAACCTGGACACATGGTACAGGCAATAACTAGACATTGCTTTTGGAATAGTGGCTGCACCACTGTGAAGTACTACAGAAAACTATTGGAAATTTTTGTGATTGTAAAGCAAGGACTGTATGGAGAAGGCCATAGCTGACATTTACCAACTACACAAAGAGGAGTTCCCTGTTAACAACAGCAAGAACACAAAACCAATTCTCGTGAAGTCAGACATATCCTCATGCTCCCGTACCTCTTTCTACTCATCCCAAGACCAATCTTACTTCTTTACTGGCTTCAAAATCCATTGCAAATAGCTCATAGACAACACAGAATCCTTTTAGGGAAGTCAAAAGGCTATAATTCAGAATAAAATCCCTCAGTCCAAACAGCTTCTGCAATGTGCACAGATGCATCACAGCCTTTAAGACTCACAGCTTTAGGCTGTTGTTTTGTGCTGTTGAGTAAAACCAATGCATAGCTGACTCTCCAGTGGATTTTCAGAGGTGGTAAGTCACACGAGAGGATATTGCCCATTTAGGTTCTTAGTCCTGCCAGTTATAGTCTTCCAGGAAACTTAGGCAAAGGTGCTTAGCTCTAGTTCCATGGTATAGCAGTTCCAAGGTCAGCTCTGTCTCCTGTTAGGTCTCTCTGGTTCTCTGCTGTTCCCATTGGTCTTGGTTTGCTGGTGCAAGAATCTCAGGCCCCAAAGAATGTGCTGCCTTCTCTTGCTTTGCTAGTGGTCAGAGTTCTCCATTCTGCTGCTGGACCCGCTCAATTTAATGTTGTGATTTACCAACCCCCTTGTGGATTGGTGAGACTAGCCAGTCCCCTTTTGGACTATTCACATATTCCTGCCCATCCACATGGCCAAGTCAGTCAGTAGCTACGAAAGCCAGTTTGAACCCTTCACACCACAATGATACTGTGAAATACAAAATAACTCATTCTCAATTAAAACCTAGGAGTTATTTTGAAGTTTGTTGTTTTATTTTCAAATATATGGGATTTTTCAGTAGCTTTCTGTTACTGGTTTCCAGTTTAATTTCCTTAAATACTGAGAATTGAAAGGTTTCAGATCAAAGCCAAGAACCATGCCAAGGTAGAAACATTTCTCAGAGTTTACTGTGCGCTGGGCTACTCAGCAAGGGGAGCCGCACTGGGGGTTGGGCTTGGAGTTTTATATGGGGTCGCTGCAGTGGCTCGTTGGTGCATAAAGCTTCTGGTCTTCGGAAATTGGTTCTGAGGAATGTCCTGACATAGGATTTCTAAAT